TGTGTTAGGATCGAGGTGTGGTTGGTCTCCGTAAGCAGGTCGGAGGCACAGACGCTGGGCCAAGGTGTCAGCAGCAGTAGGAAATCTACTGGGTGTTGAGGCTTTTTACAGTTCCCTTTTCTCCCCACCCTCTCCGCCTGGCCTGCGCTTTAACTCTTCACAGGTTTGCTGCAGGGTTGGGAATGAAGGCAGTTTCACTGGTGAAAAGGACGCTTTTAGAAGCCAGACTCCTAACTCTTTCCCCAGCAAAAATCGAATTTAAAGCAATAACCTTTAAGTTGAGTTTTAAACTGTGACATGTCCATTGTAGATCATTGGGTCAATAAAGAAAACTATAAAGAAATTAAAATCACCCATAGTCACCCTTTTAGACGTTTTCCTAATATTAAAAATACTGCTTTTATTTCTGCAAAATGTAATTTTAAGTATAGTCTTGAATGACTGATGAGGAAAACATTCGTTTATCTTCTTTCTCCTTTAAACACCAGTTCAAAAGGGTAGAATATCGACTTAGGTTAGTCCCCACAACTCAGCTTTTTTGAGACTATCCCAAGAACACAGAATTTCAGAGCCAGATAGTATTTTTGAGTTTATGTGGTTAATCTTTCCATTGTCTGGACTGAGACAAGTGATACAACTTTCTTGGGGTTTCCAAATTAGCTGCAGAGCTGGAACCAGAAGAACTCAGGAGTTCTGCCTCTGAAGTCAGGGTCCTCCCAAAACTCCAGGAGCATGGAATATCAGAGTTCACTTTTAGGTCAGAGATTTTAAATAAGATCAAAAGCAGAAAAGGGAAGAGGGGAGACAGGCAACCACATTTGAAAAGGGGCAATTTTCTTTGGAATTTTGGTACATTTTAATTCCTCTTACAAATGGAAACAAAGTGACATTTTAAAAAATTCTGAATAGACGCTGTCAGCCATTGGAACAAAACACCTGCAGGAAGAGATATTGGGAGGCGGGGAGCTATATCTTAGAGAGACACCCAGTTCTTTGGGATATGAGTGCCAATCTCTGCAGAAGTTGACACCGGGACTCCCCTAACCTGGGTGCTGGCGTCAGTGCTTCCCCGCAGGCCTGCCCTCTGGGCAACCATGTGCTCTCTTCCTCATCAGTAGCCCTCTGTGGAGGCATGCTCCCTGAGATGCCCCTCTTTCTGACATCGACTCTGGGCCTATGGCTCTCTTGCTGGGAGTATTGATACCTCTATTGTCACTTCCTGGGAGGCCTTCTCTTCACACAGGAAACCTCCTTCCTGAGAGCAGAGAGCAGCCTAGAATAAGCCTATCATGAACACAGTTGTCAAGACCACGTGAAAAGCTCACCAGAGCCTTATCCCAGTCCTGGCTCCTTTTGAAATAGATAATTCGCCCTTTTTCTCCCTGACCAGGACTGATAATGATGATAATAACGAACACTTAGGTAGTGTTTAGTGCTAGATACTTTACATTTTAGTCCTCACAATGTCCCAAATTCATTTCACAGGTGAGGAAACCAATGGGGCACAAATAAGCTTGCCTGAAGTCACAGATACGAAATTCAGAACCAGAATTCACACTTAGCCTGGCTCCAGAGACTATGTTCCTAACCACTAGACTAGACTAGTCAGCCTGCTCCAGGGGCTTGGCCTCTGCCCTCGGTGGCAGCAACTCTATTTGAGGTCTGCAGCCATCTGCAGGGGATTTGATTTTCCTCCCCCTTTATGGAAAGTGAGTCTGGGGTCACCGTGGCTCCTCTGCCCTCTCCTAAGTTTGCGTGGCAGCCAGTTTTCATTTTGTGTCATTTTATTTTCCATAGGCCACATTTATCATACTTAATAACCAAATGTTTGGTTATTGGTTATTTTGTAAAATTATTCATATGAATAACATTAGAAAAATAGTCTTTGTTAGCATCCATGTCCTGGTTTAGTATTTGGACAAATTGTGAAGGTGTGGCCAGAGAGTATATTCTGGAGTTGGACAAATCTGTCCAAATCTAGACTCTACCATTGATTGGCAACATGTCTTTCTTTTTTTTTTTCAATTCCTTCATTTCATGGTTTTCAGTGTATTCAAGTAATGCCTGTACAAGCTTGATATAGCACGTTAAATAATACACGTGAAATACCTATACAAATGAAATAATACAAGATTCATGAAGGTGAAGCTACTCATCTCCTCCTTCAGTCCTGTCCCTCTCAATCAGCATTAGCCACGTTCTTCTCCAGGGCAGCCTGCTGAGCCTCCACACGGTTGTTTTCCTGTCTATAACAGGAGGTGAATGCCCTGTGATGTATGTAATGGGTGCTGTTTCAGTGGTAGTCATTGTTACGAGGAGGGAACATAATGTGTGTTAGGGCTGCAGCAACTTGCAGGGAAAAGAGATTCTCCACCTTTCCTATCGGTTTCTCTATGCTTCTCCATCTTGCAGCCTCTGGCACAGCCTAGAGTCCAGTGGTACCCAGCAGAGGCAGTGCTGTGCACCTCTGAGCTGGGCCCAGAAGGGTAAGGGGGAGCACCTCCAGCAACATTCAGGGTGGGTCTGGGTTCCAGGGCTTCTGATCCTGGGGCTGGGCTTGTCTGAGATTCACAGGAGGTTAGAGAACTAAGGAGGAAGGGGAGATTGCTTTAACCAACCCCTCTGCTCTCTCTCTCTCTCTGGAGGAAACCTCAGGCAACTCTGCATACTTCCCCCGCTGCACACACACCTCTTCCTGCTTTCTCTACCCTGACACCAAGGTCTCTCCTCAGCCCTGGTGGCATCGTGCCTGGGTTGCTAATAATAGAGAAGGGTGAATCTGCCAGGCTGTGAATCAGAAGGCTGTCCCAGCTCTGCTCTTTTGCCCTGATCCTGGCAAATTCTTGTGGGGCTGATTTGGTAAATATCCTTGTGAGCAGAATAAGCCTTTGTGTGTTCTGGAAACTCCTGCTGTCCCTGGGGGTAACACCCTCTTGGAAGGATGATGGGGATGCCTTTGGCCTCAAGATCTTAGGACAGCGTTTCAAATCGCTCCAGGCTTCCAAGCTAGCCTGGGCTCTGGGAAGAAGGTTTGTAGGTTTGGAGAAGGAGCTGCTTCCCAGGTGCTCAGGGGATGGAAGTGATAATAGGGAGGGTGTGGAGGGTGTGAAGAGACTGTTTAGTTCTTCCCTAAAAGGCAACACAATATGGTCCTTCCAGTTCTTTCCAGAGCTCAAAAGGTGAAATAAGAATGAAGAACAGCGATCTGCAGTTTTCCTATTATCCAAAAGCCTACTACCCAATTCAGTGGGTTGTTTTGGCAACTTGCTTGGATAAACTTATTTAGAAATTATTTCAGAATTCCTTCAGGCACTTACCCTACGTCGTTTTTAAGTCAAGGTGTGGTATAAGTCCATTAACAAATTAAAATGCTTCCAGATTTCTGTGTTATTCTCAAGGCACTTTTGCTAGATAACAATACCTCACACTTGGACAGTGTTTTGCGGTTTGCAAAGCACTTTCACATCTGTTTTCTCACTTGGTTGCCATAAGAACCCTGGGAGCCGGGAAGGACATGTCTTGTTATTACCCCTATTTTGCAGATGAGGAAGCCAAGGTTTTTAGAAGGTTGGATGGCCTGGTCAAGGTCACACCGATAGGAGGACTGGGGGGATGGAGGAAACTAGAGCTGTTTTTCCTTAACCATCTTGCCTCCCACTGAGATGAAACAGCAGGATGGTTCCTGGGACCTAAGATCCCTTTGAACACTTGGATTAAAAGAATTTATGAGTTCTTTGTGAGTGTGTGTGGACCTGCTGGTAGTGGCTTTTCTTCATTAGAATTTGCATATAAGATTGAAACTAAGATGGCTGACTTTCACCATCCCAAACCAACCCTGTTTTTGCACCGTGCTGTAGTGGCATGCATTACCTTGCAGATAATTGTGGCGTAGGTGACGGTACACAAAAGGCATCGTGCAGCAGCCAGATGTTCATTTTACTAAATGGAAAATATGACTCAGAACAGGGGCCAATCTGAGCCTCCAAGCAGGCAAATTAGCCATTGAGGATGAAATCTTCATCTCTGGAGAGGAGAGAATGTGGGAACACGGAGCCCAGAGTCAAGTGATTTGGTTGAGTTCCCCGCACTTTGGTTATTTAGACTTGCTTATACTCTTCTGACCAGACTATGGGATCTTCTACTGAAATTCTGCAGCAGTGTGGGCAGAATTACAAGTAAAGTGGGTTGAGGAAGTGCTCAGGTGGAAGTGTAGCAGAGAGGATGCGTTTGAGGAGCAAGAGGCTGGGACTCAAGAAAGCTTTATGCAGATTCGAATCTTACAGTGATAACAAGCATTTGCATAGCACATACAAGTTTCATCCTATGAAGGATTCCATATGATTCCCACAGCAGCCCGAGGATGTGAGCAAAGCAGTGAACAATATCCCTGTTTTATAGAGGAAGTAGAAATCGAGAAGCAGGAAGGGTGGGTAATTTGCCCAAAGTTCCACCACTAGTAAATCGCAGAACTGGGACTAAAGACCAGGTCTTCTGATCCTCACTGGGCCCAGCGTTCTTTCCAATGTGTCATCCTGCCTTTTCCCCCTTTCTTCCTCCTCCCCACAGCTCCTTACAAGTTCAGCCTGCTGGAGGTAAGGGAAGTGATCATAAGAGTTTTTCCAGTGCTGAGACGTTCTGGAAACAACATGGACCTGTATCTGTGTCGTGATCTGTGCTTTGTGATTGGACTGTCTTGACACTCATCTCAGGGACTCTGGGGAGTGCTTGTGCAAGCGTTTCCCAGTGTGGCTGGCTTCTCGAATGCTGCTAATGGAAAGTTGTAAGAGTTCCATTTTCCTGTTTCAAGCGAGCATTTCCCCCTTGGGGTTATAGCAACCACTTCCTCCTCAGCACCCGGTGGGTCGTGGTAAACACCAGTTACGGCAGAGTATCCCCTTCTGACAACCTCATTGGTTCCTTTTTTTTTCTTTTTTTTTTTTCCTGCCTTTAAACACACACACAGAGTTCTGAAGGCTAGGTCTCCTTTCCCTCTGGTTTAGAGTTTTCAGAGTACCCTGCTGTGGCTTTGGAAACAAAACCCACACAGAGGTCAAATGCAGTTCTTGTGGAGTCACCTTGTCATCCTGCTTTGTTTTGGAAGGAACTGGGTTGGAGGCAGCACAGTAGGACTACAGCATCTTTAACGCTTGGTAGGATTGCTGGATCCACTAAACGCTTGTGGGTAAACAGGAAGCTCACAGCCTCAGTGGGTCATTAAGGGTATTACAGAATAGACACGAAAATCTGAAGTGGGATGGGAGCAGAGCAGGACTTGGTGGGTAGGTACTGAGGAAAAGGAGACAAATGGGGATGGTGAAGAAACCGAAAGGGAATAGGGGATACAAGGAAGGGGTCAGGAAAGAGTGAGTAAAAGGTTTAAAGAGAGGTGCTAATTTTAGATACTTAAAAATATATGAAAACTTGTGGCTGGATATGGTGGCTCATGCCTTTAATCCCAGCACTTTGGGAGGCCAAGGCGGGCAGATCACTTTGGGAGGTCAGGAGTTCGAGACCAGCCTGGCCAAAATGGTGAAACCCCGCCTCTTACTAAAAATACAAAAATTAGGCCGGGCGCAGTGGCTCATGCCTGTAATTCCAGCACTTTGGGAGGCTGAGGCAGGTGGATCACGAGGTCAGGAGTTCAAGACCAGCCTGGCCAAAATGGTGAAACCCTATCTCTACTAAAACTACAAAAATCAGCCAAGTGTGGGGGCAGGTGACTGTAATCCTAGCTACTCAGAAGGCTGAGGCAGGAGATTGGTTTGAACCCGGGAGTTGGAGATTGCAGTGAGCCGAGATGGCGCCACTGCACTCCAGCCTGGGCAACAGTGAGACTGTCTCAAAAAAATTAAAAAAAAAATATATCTATATCTATCTATATATATATATATATATATGAATACTTAAAAAATATTTGTAATTGCTGGTTTGGGGTGACTAGAATCTCTTCTGAATCTGTCTCAGTTTTTCTTACAGCTTTTAAATCCATGGAACTCTATCACCAGGAGATGATTGTGGTATGGAGCTGAATCATCCCGGAGTTAGTCGGGTGGCAACTGAGATCAAGGGGGAAATGGAGCAGTTTGAGGATAAATGGGCTATGAAAACCTCCCAGCTCTGCCCCCAGCCATGCCGTGAAAGTCATGGGGAAGAAAGTCCCCCATTTGTGTGTTTGTGTGGATGCGTTATTAAATAGAACAGTAACAGGGCAGGTCTCTGAGCCTGTCTGGCAGAAATCTTTCCATAGCAGGAGTATCCTGCAACTCTCTGGCAGATTTGCAAAACAGTCCAGGTAGAAAAACTTAAACGGGAAACAAGCTTGTCTTGTGTCCTACTTTGTGGAGATAGATAATAAAGCCGAAAGGCCAAGAAATGTAAATATGTAGCATGTATCTAATGTATACGGCATATGTACATGTCAATCTGTAGCTATACAATATCTACACTATTTATCTATATCTATTCTATGACTATAGGCTTCAGAAGACCTGTCAAAGATTTCCATACATTTAGAGAATTTGGGAGGATCCCTTTATAGGTGAGAGTTGAGACTCTTTGACTGCAGGTTGGGATTTGGTGGACTAGTTCCTGGTACCACCACCTGGTTGCTGTGATTATCTTTAGACTAACCAAGGCCCTTGTGTTAGCCTTCCTTAAATCATCCCCACCTCTAAGCAAGACAGCACCTATACCTTCTCCAGTTCATCCTGAACAGTTTGATGAAGTTTCTCCAGTTCATCCCTGTTTTATTTTATTTATTGTTTTTTGAGACAGAGTCATGCTCTGTCACCCAGGCTGGAGTGCAGTGGCACAAACATGGCAGCCTCTACCCCTGTGTTCAAGCAATCCTCCTGCCTCAGCCTCCTGAGTAGCTGGGACCACAGGTGCACACCACCACAGCTGGCTAATTTTTGTGTTTTTTGTAGAGACAGGGGTCTCATCGTGTTACCCAGGCTGGTCTTGAACTTCTGGTCTCAAGCAGTCCTCTTGCCTCAGCCTCCCAAAGTTTTGGGATTACAGGTGTGAGCTACTGCATCTGGCCCATCCCTGTTTAAATGGGAATATCCAGAAGATTGTCCTTGTCATACACTTGGTGCAGTTTAAAGTATCTTTGCCACTTGTCAGAAACAGAATTCTGGTTGGGAAGGGCCATCATTCTGAGTGTGGCAGGTTTTTGCTTTGTTAATTGCTGGAACTGGAGTACAGAAGCCAAATGCAGGCTCTCCACCTGGGACCGTCTTCCTGTTTGTCTGCCCAGTTCACACTTGTCTTAGGAGCTGCAGCCTGAAATAGTGAGATGGCTACATTGCCTGATCAAATCTGGGATTTATGAAGTGATAACACCTCCCGGGAGATAGATTTCTTCGCCCCACCCCAGTGCTTCCCACGCATGCCCAAGGACTGGCTCTTTATCTCTGGCGTGAAGATTCCTCCCACTTCCCTGTTGCTGAGATCCTTAGTCCTTTAGAGGGCAATTCTTTCAGCAGGGATTGCAGCTCCAGGTTACAGTGGGGGTGGGAAGAAACCATGCCCCTCACACCAAAAGACAGTCCTGGTCTTGTCGACCTAGTATCTGAGCCAAGGTTGAGGACAGCTGCCTGGGACACACTTCCAAGTTGCCTTGGGGAGTGCTCTGTTTGGCCTTTGTTACAAGCAGGTTTTCAAAGGCAAAAGGAACAAGGAAGTGGGCTGAGACAAAGTTGTTTGACAGGAATCCTCCCTGGTTTACAGAGATAACATTGGATAGTGATTGCTCTATACTGTTGAACTATATAGTACGAGTGATGTTGTCCAACATATGTCATTTTATGGCTACTTAGCATCAGTTAGTCTAGAGCTCACATAGCAAGTGGCTTCAGGAGGTGATTATTTAGCTTAGGCGGGGAGAGGTGATCGCTGTCACATTTTGGTGCCTCTCTGGGTTTGATAATTAAAGGGGGTTTGGATTCTCAGATAAAACATTTTTCTTTCTCAGTCTAAAGTGGAGAGTTTAAAAAAAATCCATCTTCCTCTCTCACTTGGACAATTACAGCAGCCTCAAAATGGATCTTTCTTGTTTTCACCCTTTCTCTCCTGCTTTCTGTTCCCCAGGTGTACTCTATACATAAGCAGAGTGAGCCTTTTAGAACATAAGCCAGACTATGACACTCCTCACCCAAAACCCTCCAGCAGCTTCCTATCTCACTGACATAAAATCCGAAGTCCTAAGAACGGCCTAAAAAACTGCAAGAACTGACCTCATATGTGATATGTTCTCCTCTTTGTTTACTCTGTTCCAGCCACTTTGCTGTTCCTGTTGGCCTTTGAAGCTGCCCACACACCTGTCTCAAAGCCTGTGCACTTGGCCGCTCCCTGTGCCTGCAGTGCCCTACCCTCCACCTGTGTATGGCTCAGCCCCTCACTTCCTGCAGAAAGGCTGTGGTCAGCTAAGCCAGCACACCCCTCTCCCTGCCTCCCCGGGGCTCTCCCTTTTCCCCTACCTGACTTTATTTATCTTCAGGATACTCATAGCTGCCTGATGCAATATGTCTTTATTTGTTTATCATCTGCCTCTCCGCACTTAGAATGTAAGCTGCTTTAAGGGTAGGGACTTCATTGTGTTCACTGCTAAATAACCTGCAGCTAGAACAGTGGCACATCTGTAAATATTTGTCAAACAATGAATGCATGTGTGCACGCATGCATGAATCCATTAGCAACAGCGTTTATTGGGTTCCTTTACTAGGCATCACGTTTGTAGCAAGGAGTACAAAGATGGATACTATGGTCCCTGCCCTCAGGGGCTCACTCCTTTGATCTGTTTTTTGTGGAAGGGTTTCCCACATCAGTCTCTTTTCTGATCTGTTCTTACCTATGCTGTTTGAATTTTGGGAAGGCCCCTCCACCCTAGGAGTCTAGCTGCTGTCTGTCATCAGAATGATCCTACCCTAATGTTCCTGGGCTTCTAGAGTTCCTTGGGGTCTTCACGGAGCAGTCAACCCATTCAGGGAACAGTTTTCAGTCCTCAGCTCACAGAACCTACAGGAAGAAAGCCCTATTTCTCCCTTAGCTGAAGTGACCTTTGGGAGAGTGCTGTGTTCTCAGATCAAATACAGGAAGGAGCACTGAAGGTGTAAGATATGGCAGCAGTTTCTTTATGTTACTTGTTTATTTGGTGTTCTGTATATTTTTTACATTGTAAAAGCAAACTAACCAGGCTACAGAAATTTCGAAAATAAAGAAAAAGAATGGGTATCATCATAACCCTACCATCGTAATGAAACAGCTTGATTCTATGAATTATTACTTAATTGGTTAATTTGTATTCTACCTTATTTAAAAGATTTGCGGATACTTAAAACAAATATGCATCTAGTACAATAGAATATAATAACTGAGAAATCAGAGCAAAGGGTCAAATTGTTTATCAAAGCCAGTATAAAGTTAATGTGCAGAAATGCATACTATTATAACTACTCTTGGTATATTTCTTCTTAGCCTAAGTCTGTATATTTTTCATAGCTTATTCTGCTCCCCACCCCTTAATCTTATAGCAAAAATTTCCACGTTTCTGTTTTAAACTCTTATAGTTAAGGACCGAATGATCAATCCCAAGGATGTGCCCCTAATTTGTTTAATCATTCCTCTATTGTTGGAAGTTGGGCTATTTTCACTACTATTGTTATTAGAAACAATGGCATAATTAACATCTTTATGCATGTAACTTTTTCCATATTTTGGAGTATTTCCTTAAGTAGATTTCCAGAGGTAAAATAACTAACTGAAAGGTTGAAACATTTTTATGACCCTTGTAGCTTATTCCTGGGCTGATTTCCCAAAAGGTCATGTGCCTTGGGGATGCCTCGAGCAGTGGGTTGGTATGTGTCACACCTTACTCTCCTCCTCACCAGCACTAGGATTCACTATTTTAAAAAAAATTTTTTTTGCGGCCGAGCTCGTGGCTTACGCCTGTAATGCCAGCATTTTGGGAGGGCAAGGCAGGCAGATCACTTTAGGTCAGGGGTTTGAGACCAGCTGGGGCAAATAGTGAAACCCCATCTCTACTAAAAGTACAAAAGTTAGCCCCGCATGGTGGTGCGCATCTTCTAGTCCCGGCTACTCAGGAGGTTGAGGCAGGAGAATTGCTTGACCTCTGGAGGCG